TCTGAGCCTTAAAATCCAGGTACGTCCTTGTCTCCGTGTTCTAGCACAGAGCTGCCATACAGACCTTGACAAGTCCCCTGCTCTGAGTGTTTGACATGCACATCCCATGTTTTAGCCTCCTCTAAAACATCCAGGTATGAATGCACAAGAAAGACTGGGGAAAACAATACTGTTCTTTGAATTTCACACCCAGAGACCTCAAAACATCATTTCTTGTTTGCTTTTCTAAGAATTGTGAGTTTCCATGTGAGCAAGATGGTCAGCTTTGCTTAAACCACTAAGAGCAATTGTTGTACACAAAAATAGGAATAGCCTCTGTGCCAGAGATTTCTCCGAGCTTCAGAATTCTCCACTAATCACATTCAATCTAAACATCTCAACTGCTTTTTTGTTAACGGAAAAAGACAGGACTCCCCAGAGAGTAATTCCGCCTACTGGTAGGCCTCCAGCCTGCTCACTCCCTTCACAACTGGGGGTGCAATAAATAGGGTAAGTAGTTGCCTCCATTACTCTTAATCATGCACGGATTGCAGGGAAACCTTTGCTGACTTGGAAGTCTGGATTATGTGGAGACAAAAAAATGATAATTGACCGCCTGAGTTTGACTGCCTGAGAATATTTCCTCTGGTCTAATAACAGACCCAGATATCTAAAAATGTAGGTTATTTATGTATTCTGTGTGAGTAGCTTCTGAACAAAATACAGGTTCAGTCATCAGAAGTTCTCATCTCCCAGACATGATCAGCTTGATCATGACTGGCTTCCAGCATGTGCTTGTCCATCGTGGATCTCTGCTATTCTTCTATTTTTATTCCGAGGATGTTAGTAAACTTCTCAATGGAGAATAAGACTATTTCTGACTCAGCATGTTTTGCCCATTATTTCTCATACGTTGTGTTTCTGACCACAAAAGGATTTTTGCTGGCTACGATCGCTTTTGACCGCTACGTCACTTTATGTAGCCCACTGCTTTATACCACTCTTATGGCTGGGAGAGGCTGTGTTTGTCCGGTGGCTGGGTCATACACTGGGGGACTCTGCAACTTACTGTTACTCATTGTAACACTTGCAGCTTGCTGATGTTGTCCTTTTGTAGCCCCAGTATCATCAGCCCAATGCTGATGATGAATGGGGCCCTAGGCAGCCTGTTCTGGTGGAAGTTAACCAGCACACAGTGTGGTTTGGGGCTGGAGGATCTTTGTCACTTCTAACCCATCAATTCTCTAGTTCTATGCTTCTGTGATTTCACCAAAGACAAACTTTGATCCCAGCTACAAAGCTGTAGCAAAGATCAGCTCAGAATAGAATGCAAAGAGATCATTGCATTCTACAGCTTCCTGAAGGGACGTTGTGGTGAAGAGGGGTTTGGCCTCTTCTCCCAGGCAACAAACAGGACCTGGGGAAATGGCTGCAAGTTGTACCAGAGGAGGTTTAGGTTAGACATGAGGGAAAACTTCTTCTCTCAGAGAGTGGTCAGGCACTGGAATGGCTGCCCAGGGAGGTGGTGGAGTCGCCATCCCTGGCAGTGTTCAAGAGGTGCCTGGATGAGGAGCTGCGAGATCTGGTTTAGTGCTTGTGGTAGCAGTGGTAGTGTGAAGACGGTTGGACTAGATGATCTTATAGGTTGTTTCCAACCTTGTGATTCTATGATTCTATGATTTGAGTCAGTGGACCTCCACCATTTTGCTATAAGCTTCCAAATCTTTGTCACATTACTAAGACTAAAGTACACTGTAACAGAACACTAACAGCATCAATTAGGTCCACTAAATGTCCTAATAAGCAACACCAGCAACTATCAGAAATAATGTAAAGCTTCTTAAGATGATGTTGTAATGTAATCACCTCATTTCGTTCAGGAGCTGTGAAGTACAGTAGCCATGCTTCTGTGATCTGGCTGTCAAATATATAAATGCTTTAGATGTTTTCAGAGTATATTAACAAAAAGATGCATCTAAATGCCTGCCTCCTGCCAATAAAAATTAAAAATGAGAGGAAAATGGCAAGGCCTAAATGAGCAGGATAACTCTTGCTGTTTCTTGTAAAAAATAGTTATTCTTGAAGTTGTCCTTGAAAAGCGTTTTGTGAAAGTTGCATGTTGACAGCTTCATTCTATAGAACTATCATACATGTGCCTGAATTAAGTTTCAGTTAGAAAGCTATGTCTCTGCATTAAGAGGAGTAAGACAGTGTAGAAGAAAATGAAGAGTTTTATCTTATTATCATACTTTTACAACTGTTTTTTATCTGGGACTTTCTGGGATTTTTTCCTTTCCAAATTGGATTGCTTGAATGCTTCTCCTGTATGGCTAAGGAACAAGCAGAGAATAAGAACAGATAAGGAAAAGCACTAGGCTTTAGGACTGATAGCACCTGTACCACCTTTGGGGTACGTAGGCAAACACTGTAGGCATTATGCCCTCAGATTCTAATCTCATATATGCATCATAGGACTGCACGGAGTAGATGTGATGCATTCCACTCTATTGGTGCCTTACTTCTCTCTGCTACATATAAGAAGCCTACAAGTATTTATAGACCAGTACAATTCGTCTGCCACACACAAAGTGGGCTTTATATTTGATAGCAACTTAAATCATATCTCTTCTATATTCTTTTCTGGTCAGCAAAAACACTTCTGTCCTCACCCAAGAACATGATCAATCTGATGCCTCCACTCACTGCAGAGAAAGAGAGCCTATGCAACTGACTAATATTAGACAACAAGATTTTAGATAGCTAGAGTTATTTCTCATAGCAAAATGCATTTTAGGAACATTTTAGGAATTTTAGTCTCTGCTCTGTGCTCGCTGATAATGGATGCCAGCATTGCATGTTTCTGTACCCCATTAATTTCTAAGCACTAATAAAACCTTTATTGCCCCTCCTCCTGCAGACAGCACACAGCTAAGCCTGATGGCTTCAGGAAACTGCACAACACCAACCGCGTTCAGTCTGACTGGATTGACAGAAAATCCAAGGCTGCAGATACCTCTCTTCATGCTGTTTTTAGCCATCTACATCACCACTTTGACGACAAATCTGGGTCTCACTGCATTAATCAGCATAGATCTTCAGCTGCAAACGCCAATGTATTTTTTCCTCCAAAATCTGTCTTTCACGGATGCAGTTTATTCTACAGTCATCACTCCCAAAATGCTGGCCACGTTTTTAGAGGAAACAAAAACAATTTCATATGGAGGTTGCATTCTGCAGTACTTTAGCTTTATTTTGTTGACAACCATGGAGCTCCTGCTGCTAGCTGTGATGGCATATGACCGGTATGTGGCCATCTGTAAACCTCTGCTTTATACTGCCATCATGACCAAGGTGGTGTGCTGGAGGTTGGTTAAAGGCTTGTACTTTGTGGCCTTCCTGAACTCTCTCTGGTGCACACCAGTAGCTTGCTAAAACTATCCTTTTGCTCTTCAAATGTGGTAAACCATTTCTTCTGTGATATCAGCCCTCTCTTCCTGATTTCTTCTCCCAGTACCGCTCTCAATGAGCTGCTGGTTTTCATTTTTGGCAGCTTATTTTTGATCATCAACATAATTTCCACACTCATCTCATATATTTTCATTATTCTGACTGTGCTGAGGATCCGCTCCAAGGAGAGAAAATACAAAGCTTTTTCCACCTGCACCTCTCACCTGATGGCTGTTTTTTTGTTCCACGGAACCTTCATCTTCATGTACTTGCGACCTGTCAAGAGCTTCTCTCTGGACAAGGACAAACTTGCATCTTTGTTCTACACTGTGGTGATCCCTATGCTGAACCCCCTCATCTACAGCTGGAGGAACAAGGAGGTAAAGGATTCTCTACGCAGAGTCATAGCCACCAACGTCTGGCTTCACTGATCCTTGGTTTGGCCAGTGTGATACCATTCTGATTTTTAAGGGATGATTCACAAAAAAAGTCTAAATAAGAAACCACTTAAGCACATATTCAGTTTTATATTTCCGCTCAGATGCAAAGGCAAAAACATTTTATCTGTATTTAGGTGCTATTTTGAAGAGAGTATTTCCTGGTCTGAAATTTACTGTATGTGGAACAGCATTCATTTTCTGTAACCTATGTTGAAACATGAAAGCAATTTCCGTGTATGTTCTAAAATGTTACCAAGCTTTACTTAATGGTTCAAATTACTGAGAAGAATGCAGTGAAGTCACAGTGCAATCGGGAATGAGGTATAGAAACAACTTATTATTAAGAAAATGAATAAAATATTTGTTTGGTTTTCTTCATTTGCAATAAGATCATTTATGAGTAAGGAGAAAATATTGCGTGTGGATTAGTTGGTAATCACTCTGGTTGAAAAGTAAATGCAAAGAGTGAAGGATAAGGAGCTTTAGTTTTGTGTTTGTACTTTTAGCATTAGCAGAGTTGCTTTTCACTGTGACAGCGATAATAGTAACAATAATAAAAACAATATGGATGGCAGAAGCTCAATTCATTTATGTTGTCCAGGTAGAAATGGGAAGTCAGGTTTGCCAACTTGCTTCGGTACGTCTTAGATTTGCAATGACTTGCAGGTCTGAAAGCACATCCGCAGGTCAAAGAGCTGTTGGAACAACAAATGTTGAGTCATCTATATCTATTTCCAAAGATATAGCCTAAGAGGGATGGTGGAAGATACTTCAGAGGCCAACTCTTAGTGAATCCAATGATTTAACTGGTAGAAACAAGAGAAGGCAGGTGAAAAATGAGACTCAGGGAAAAAAACATCTCCTGCCCCACATTAACAGTTCTGCAAGCAGTTTCATTTGAGCTAATTCCACACACCTGGGGTTCCAGAGGCATTGCAAGCCTTTCTGTTTTGAGGATGCACAAGAAGCAGGAGCCATGTATCCATGTATAAGCCAGAGATTTCTATCCAGAAGGACTCAATTATATATGCTTTACTGAAGATGTGGAATCTGAAGATTTTTCTGACCAGAGCTTTTCCATGCCCCTGTGTTTGCTTATGTCCCTCAAATTGGATTAATATCACACCCCAATATAAGGCTGCCTTGAAGATCAATGAGCACTAGAATCATAGAATTATAGAATATCCCAAGGTGGAAGGGATATATGCTCATATATTTGCTCATCTTATCTGTCATTCTGGAGGTCCTGTCAGATGACGGCAGGAAGAAAACCTTCCACACCTGTGCCTCTCGCCTGACATCCATCACCATTTTCTTTGGGTCCCTTACTTTTAGATACATCCAGTGCAGCTCCAGCTACTTAATAGAGCAGGAGAAAGTCTCAGCAGTCTTCTACACGCTCCTGATCCCTATGCTGAACCCCTTGATTCACAGTCTGAGAAACAGGGAGGTGAGGAGCAGCTTTAGAAGGACATTTAGGGTGAGTGAGCTTTTCCACTAATCACTGCAAAATGCAAAGACAAAGCTGAGAGAAAAGACTTTGGGGTTATGGTTCTAAATCTCAAAATTGAACAGGAAAGTGTAAACGGTATGCATAGTATTATCACACATACTTTTCTTTTGTGGTATGCCAGTGTCATTCAACTAAATCTGTTGTTTCATACTGTGTTGTCATTCGTACTGTAAATTGAAATGAATGTGTTAAAAAGGTCACAAACTCCTTGCTGTAAAATAATTGCTATTAAAAAGTTGGATGTGTACATTTGTACTTTTTGTGGAAAGCTTAGTGGTTTTCATAGGAATAGCTGAAAGTGCATTGTGCTGAAGGAGGTGTCATCCATGCAGTGAAGTGTTCTACCTTCGTGTGAGAATCCAGCCAATGTTATCTGCCAACGTTATTAGCAAACTATGGGCACTGCTGTGCGATGAGGCATGCTGGCCAGAGAGAATGCCCAGTTTGAACAAACGTGCACAGAAATATTTTTTTCAGATGTTTCCGCCGAGTTCCAGCTCAGTCCCTGGAACACCGGTCACAATTTGAGAACGAGCACTGCCTGGTTGCACACACTGTGAGCTGCCACCCGAGGGGACACTCGCCTGTTTCTCAAGGCTGGTGCTTTCTTATGTGGCTTTTTGTTTTTTTTTTTTTTCATATTTCCCACCCCACAAATCTGTACAGTAAGCTGCTAGGACGTCATGGAACAGAACCAGCCGACCCCAACAAGCTGGGCAGCCTCTCAGCGCCGTTCCGACGGGAGCTGTAGCTTCCCTGCCGCCCCGCTCCCCCGGCAGCAGCCAGCGTGAAACTACACCCCCCAGCATGCCTCGCGCCCCGCTCTGACCATTGGGAGCGGACGGCCCGATCCGTTGCCGCGGAGCATTCTGGTACGTGTAGTCAATATCCCCGACTCCTACTGGCCTTGAGCGGGGGGAGGTGTTGGGGAAGGACTCCGTTTCCCGGCAGGCAACGCGGGCCCAGCAGGCGGCGCGGGCAAAAGCCGCTCGGCGACGAAATGGCGGTCGATAAGGACCTGCTGGAGTTGGATCTGTACGGCCTGCTGGGGGTCGGCGAGAAGGCGTCGGAGAAGGAGGTCAGAACTGTATTGCCTCGCTTTGCCCTTCTCTTTTCTCACCTCAAACCTGTGGGGATGGATCTTGGTTTGGGAAGGGTGACATCAATTGAACTGAACCGCAAAAGTGCTCTCAGCCATTTCCTTCATTAGCCCTCGGAGCTCCGCAGTTTAGCAGAAATCCAGTGACCAGAGGGCGATTTAGGTACCTAGCATCATAAGTCACCGCGTTAATTTTGTGGGTTTGGAATGGCGTCTTTATATTTTCTCTTTAATTTAATAGTTAGGTCGATGCTAATTGCCCCAGTGACTGACAGTACTGAGCTGGGAAAGTGGCCCGGTGAAGAGGAAGAAGGCTCTAGCACCTGAACATGGTTAAAATAACAAAATTGTTTCCCTCACTTAGGCTTTTTCTTTGTTCTTTCAAGTCCAGGTAAATCGTGGAAGCCAAAGACAGTGTGTAACCAGCAAATGTGTTGCCTTGATGTAAGCACGTCAGATACAGTTCACAGGGCTCAGTGAGGTGAAGGACTTTACTGTTGAGATGATTCCTGGGATGGGAAAAAGGGTGAGGAAGTGATAAAGTGGGTGTTACAGGGTGACTTAAATTGACAGGTGTTGTGTAGAGTGCTGGTCCTTGGTAAAATACTTGGAGCAACGCAAAGCCCCCTTGTATTCAGCGGTACTTTGCCAGAAGAGACAAACAAAGGAAAGCAAGGGTTACTCCAGTAACTGTTTATATGGCATGTTGAGGAGATGTAACTCTCTTTACTGGGGTCTTGCTTATGGAAGAGACAGGATGATGTCTGCTAGGCTTCAGCTGCATTTTCCTTTCATCTGTTTTATCCACCAGGTGGTGCTCAGCCACCACTTATTCCATCCCATCTGAAAATTCTTTTTGGCATGCATTTTCTTGCATGCAGATGTTCCACTGAGGAAGGAAACTCACATTATAAAAACTTTACTAGTGACTTGGTCCATAAAGTTGTAATCTTTTTCTCTGAAGTGTAGAAGTGATTAAACAGTCTTTGGTCAAAAAATCTTTACCTTGCCAAGTTCAGTTGTTGCACAGTGAACTATATTATCTCTTTCTCAAATAACTGTAAAGAGTAGAGCATCTCTTTGGCTAGAAAACTGCATCTGTGAATTGGACTTGACTTTGATGATCATGAGATTACATTGCTGTAATATAGTGTACCTTGAAGTAAAACTTCAAGCTTCAAAAAGCTGAAAACTCATTCGAAATGTGGCTGACTGCCTACTGTGTGTCCTGGGCTCGGATGCTTATCCTTGTAGTACAGTGTGATTTAAAAAGGCAGGTTGCTTCACTGAGTAGACTAGTGGAAAGTATTCTAACACGATGTACTAATGGTGCTGTCAGCACTCTAGAAGTGGACTTTTCTATCAGGCATGGGGATTATGCAGTAACATAAGTGAATGTTGGTTCAACCAAGCCTTCTGCTTGTGAGAGATGTGGTTTAGACTAAACAAAACAAACAACAAAAACAAACATCCACTGAGTTGTAACTTTCTTGTTCTTATAGTGTTACTTTTTTTTTTTTTAACCAAATTGCATTTGTCAGCATGGACTAAATGAAAACAACTGACGGATCTCTGACTCTTGTAGATTAAGAAAGCGTACCGCCAGAAGGCTCTGACTTGTCACCCAGATAAGAACCCAGATAATCCTCAAGCAGGTGAGATAGAACTGTATGGCTGCAAGCTACTCTTGTTTGTTTTCACACATACAGACTCCTGGAAGTGTCTCTGTTTAACTTCAGGTCTGTCTTTTTATTCAATTAAGAGAATGCCTAGATTTGTGTCATGTGATGTACACATATGCAAGACTTGGAGTTACTTGCATCACTATTAGCCAACTCTGTTTTTTAAAGTTGAGTGTGTGCATATTGGTTTTAAAAATGAGTGTTATGTCAGAACTGAAATTTTGTTTGCACCTCTCAAAATTCCTCAACTGATACCTGAATCATAGAACTGTGGCTGTTCTCAATGTTTATTGGTAGATTAGTATCTTAATTAATACCTTTCACAGTCAAAACTTCAATAACAAACTTATAAATCAGTATTTTATATCGCCATTACCCAATATTGTCTGTTAGCCTAAACACTGTAGAAGTGAGTACATCCAAAATATAGCAATCTATTCTTTTTACACCTGTTCCGTTTAAGTTTTGTAGCTATTGGTAGCAAAGAACAGTGGTGGTAACTGGAAGGTCATTGTTCCTCAATGACTTCTCAAAATATTATTCTGTGTCTTCCATTTTCCAAATCAATAGGCTGCAGTCTTAAAGATTGAAGTTTTGTAGCTGTGGTATGGGAATTGTCACTATGAATAAAAAAGATCTTTAGCAGAAATGAGAATAGAGCTGGAGGTTTTGATGTATGCATAAGGCTGGGAGGTGGTCTGAAGTATGCGGAGAGGCCTCCAGCTCATATGTGTGCTCCTCCAGCAACTGGTCAGCAAAACTGATGTAAAAGGGGAATTTTGTAGCTCAGGCTAAAAAGCTGTTAATGTGATAGAGAAGTGTTTTGTAACACTCAGAGTAACTGCAGGTTGAGGAATTCCAAGCCTGTAGATCGGTTCTATTAAGATCATGTTTGCAAGGTTTCTTTTAAAAATAAAATGTTGGTTATTTTTGTTTCTTGATCTACACTGAAGTCTATATAACAAATGTTCTTTTAACTGTAACTGTATTTTGCAGATTTTGTTTATAGGTTGGCTTCGAAATGCTTTGGAAGGATTATTCTTCTTTCTGATGTTCTGCAGGTCTCTTTCAGAAGAGATTGTGTTTTCTGACTGATCTCCAGGCCACTAGCATGGTTTTCTGCATCTTACCCTTTTTTCTTCTAATTCCCAGCGGAAGTCTTCCACCAGCTGTCTCAGGCCTTAGCTGTTCTCACAGATGCAGCAGCAAGGGTAAGGATGCCTATCCCTTGTTTATATCGGGACTGTATGGTGTTACTCTGTATGCTGGGGAAGTAGTAGAAACTCTCATCCTGTCTGGCCTCATCTCTTCTCCAATTGAGCCTCTAAGAATGCAAGTCTTGTCTGTTATTGCCTTAATCCTCCATGAGATGAAATAGCAGGTGCCAGTTAGAGCTTTGATAAATGTTTTTTCTGATCTGATGTGCTGGGAGTAGCTCTGTTTGCACTGAGTGTGAGCTACTGTCTTTAATAATGTGCTCAGTTGGGACCTATCTCGTTTAAAGAATTAAATAACCACCAGTGATTGGTTCAGTTTCTGTGACAGCAGTGCATTTGTGGTTCCCTTGAAATCAAGATGTGACAATAGTATCTAGACACAGGATCACTGAGGCTCAGAGCCCTTCTCTCAGTGGGGCACAAGAGGCTTGTGAACAGAAAAGCTGAGTTGTAGTCGTGATCTCTGTCCTTTTGCTGCACAAGCTTTGCAGGCTGCCAGATGTAGCTCAGACTTCCTGTAAGGAAGTGGTTGAGTGCCTTCTGCAAGGCCTGAAAGTATTACGTGTGAAAAGCAGAAATAAAAACAGCATGAAAGAGAGTCAGCATGAGCAAGTAATACCATCCAGATAAGCTCAGGATAGAAGGCATATTAAAATTTCAGATAAGATTTAAAAGCAAACGTTGGCAGAGATTTTAAAGGATAATGATATGAGGGATAATGGTAATGGTTTGAACAGATGTCAGTAAAGTTGCTAGTTTACCCCAGTTCTTAAATCACTAAAGTGAATGTTGATGTGCCATCGCAGCTGAGGAATTCTGGTGTTCTTTGCTCTGATACATTTATGTGAGTCAACCATCTGTCTTATCAGTAGATCTTTTCTATAAAATAAACCTTTTTCATCATAGAAGTTTGTTGTAAATCAAACTTGATTTGTTTTTCGTGCCCCTAAATTTACTTTTGACCTGTTCAGAGAAAAAAAACAGAATATTTTTCTCACCTCTAAAGATGGGTGAGATTTTTTCTACAGTAAACTTCACAGTTACTCCTAGATTTCTTCACTCTTTCAGGCTCAATCTGGAGGTCCTTTTCGTGTTTTCAGGATAATTGTGTTAACTCCAACATTTTAAAAGTGCTAGCAAGAAGCAGGAAATGTTTCACCTCTTCTTACAGTGTTTCAGTAGCTGACCTCCCTTCTACTCACAGCTTCATATTTTATCCCTTTTGCTTTACATAGTTACACTGTTCTGTTGGTTTTTTGATAGGTGGCATATGACAAAGTGAGAAAAGCCAAAAAGCAAGCAGCAGAAAGGACACAAAAGCTTGATGAGAAGCGAAAGAAAGTAAAGCTTGGTAATGAAATCAAAATTTCATTTTCTTTGGGCTTGGAGTCTTCATTAGCTGGGTACTTGCATTTCTTTGATGTTGGAAGTCACCACGAATTGTTACATTGCTGTTCATCTGCTATGGCCTTTTTTTTTTATTGCCCATCCAGTACAGTGCAGGAGCCATGTGAAATCTCCAGTAGTCACAGCTGGGGATGATTCTGCACTGACAAGGAATTGAGGCTTTTGATGCCCATTAGGATTGCTAATATATTGCTGTGTTGGAGCAGAGCAGAGACAGAAGAGCTCTGTTATGTCTCTACTTTGAGTTTGTTGTAGATGTAGCCAAGTTTTGGATCATTACACCCACCTCTGGACAGCAGTGAAAATTCTTTTTGGTTTGTTTTAATTTTGTTTTTTTCTCTGCAGATCTTGAAGCCAGGGAACGAGAAGCCCAGACCCGTGACAGTGAAGAGGAGGAGATTCGGATAACAAGGACCTTAGAACAAGAAGTAATGATCCATTCTTAGATTTGTATGCTGCATTTGAGAATAAGTGCTTAAAGTCTATATCCATAATGCAAACCACACGAGTTTGCCTTTTGGATTAATGGGCTCTGTGAAAGAGAGGCAATGCATGACAGTCTGGCAAATGTCAGTCCTGCTTTTTGGCATAGCAGAAAATAACTAATTGGGTATATGCTGGCTGATAGGGGCTATGTCATTAGGAGCAGGAGGGGTCTGAATATTAAATAAGCACTGGAGCTGGCACAGTGGGGCTAACATCAGAAGATGGGGCTAAGTTAAAAACTGTCTTTGGCAGTCTTCAGCTGGCATGAGTCAAGCATGGAACTGTTCCCATGCTGTCTTACCTTTGCTCTAGATAATACGGTTGCGTGAAGAAGGCTCTCGTCAGCTTGAAGAGCAGCAGAGACTCATTCGAGAACAGATCCAACTTGAAAGACAGCAGCGCATCCAAGGTGAGATAGGTGAGACTGGAGTGCTTAGCCAAACTAAGTACCCCTGAGTCTCCAGCTTCTTTATAGATGGAGCAGGGTTTGCATACACATGAAGCCTTCTGACTTGGTCCTTTTGCCGCATACAGGATCCTACTTAGACCTTTGTTGAGAATGAGACTAACATTTCTGTGAGGCTTTTTTCTTGTATGTGGCAGATTGCTCTTTAACATATTGTTGCTTCTCTTGAATAAAGTTTTGAATGTAGATGGCCTGATGTAGAGCCCCACAGCTGTGTTGAAAAGAAACCTAAAGTCTTACTTGTCCATCATAATTGAATCAGTCAGTGTTGTGCACAAAACAGGGACTGATTCAAGGTTGCAAAAAAAAAAGTTGCCATCAAAGTTACTACCTGTGTATCTCTTTGAAAGTTCTCAGTACGTATCACTCAGAAGAGTTACAGTGAAGACAGTGAAATTTTGTATGGTGTACAGTTCCAGAGGTTTTATGTACTGGAATTTGGTTCTCATGTTTTCTTTAGGCATATGCAGTCTTCATCCCAGGTTTGTACAAAGACTGAGGACAAATCTGTCAGAATGAGCAACATGTTGAACAGGAAAACACCTGAATTTTGTGTTACTGTACAACAGCAAGTTACCATGTTTGAGATTATCTCCCTCTAATTCTTGGGGGCTGCTCACTAGCTGTACTTAGACCCCTTCATACAGGACCAGATGAAATGTATCTAAAATCACAGAAGCTTAGCCTCTGGTATTCCTGAATCTCATTCCCATCCACATGTCTCTCTAGAAATTTGCCTTTTCTAACATTCTGCATCTCTGTGGGTTTCAAATGTACAGTTCTATATTTCAGAAAGTTTTGTTCTACTTTTTGAAAAGAAGATAGAGTTCTGTTTAGAATTTCAGTTCAACAGAAAAACTTAATGTCTCTTGCTTCCTACTGCAACTGAGACCTGAGAACTTAGGTCTGTGAAACAGGAGCAGATCACTATTGGGTATTTCACTATTGAGTATTTAGATGAAAGACCAGATTAAATTCTTAGGGTACATCTTAATGTTGTGATTTTTTTGTCTTCCCTTAATTTTCCATGCTTGTTCCTACCAGTACAGCCTATTTACAGGGAGAAATGTTACAGAATCTAACAGATTTCCTTCTTGTGGTTTTCTTGTTTAGCAGTTTTCTACCCTTGATCAGGGGATGTTTTGGAATCGTGGAAGGGAAAGATGCTGACATCCAATATTTACTTTATTCTACAGCTTCTACTGATACTGTTATATAAGGCTTTTCAGGTGCTGAAATGATCAAGTGCAATAAAAATTGAGACATGCGCTTGCTATTACCATAAATACATTTGCAGGGCAAATTTTGTGGTAATGCTATTTAGGTGATGAATTTTCACCCATTCACCCATATTCTTACATCTTTTTATTTTTTTTTTCTCTACACTCCTTAGGCAACCGAGTAGGAAATGGCGCAGAAGGCAAAATAACTCCCAAACTCAAAGTAAGTCATCTCTATGAAGATGGATTTGGCAAAAAACAGAGTATTTGCAGGTTTGGAGAACAGAAAGGACTCCTTTGCTGAGCTGGCATGCCCTTTTGTACAGTGGTGGTGAAGATCCTCTATTTAATGCATATCATGCAAGCCAGCACCTCCCCATCCCAGACTTTAAAATACCCTTCCTCCCCTATTCTTTTCTTCTCTTACTTTCTCATGTAAACATTTGAGCCTGAAATTGAGTCATCTGTGCGTTAGGCATTGAGAAACATCTGCTTATTACCCTGATACAGCCATTAATATACCTGCAGGTACAGTTTTAACTCCCATGAGTCCTTCCTCACTGTTCCCCAAATAATTTGTTCCCTGTGCACACTCTGATGTTGAAGTTATTGTCTTGGCCATTCTGGGACTGTAGCTGTAAATAGCAGACTTGATTACTGTGCAGGTGGTGTGAGCTGTGTTCAGCATGGCAGCATGTTCAAATAGACAAAATTAACTTCTCATATTTATTTCCCAGCTAAAATGGAAATGCAGGAAAGAAGATGAAACAGGAGGGGGATATACAAAAGAAGTTTTACTGCGGATCCTGCAGAAGGTACTGTCTGATGCTTTTCTGTGACTTAATGTTCCCCTGCTTTTAGTGCTAAAAGAGAGGACAGTAAATTCTGGGAAGCCCCATATAAACCAGTGTAGCTCATTTTCTTCTCTTGTTGAGCCCTCTCATTCATGCCATTTTCAGAGATCATCAACACAATCCATTTGCTGTGAACTGTTCCTAGTTGCATGTTTGCCTTCTTCCTAGTAGAGATCCCCAGTGAAACAGAGCAACCACAAACTCTTCCCCTGAGTGATTCATGTCCTTTATAAAGGTTAGATTGGCTGTGTGGTTATAACGTGCATTTTTACCCTTACTTAAAGCACTGTACGTTACCTTCTGTGAGGAGTTCAGAGGCGGGAACAGACAAGCTTTTGGACAGATTAATCCCAGCATGTGGTCTTCATTCAGATGAATATCTCCTGTAACTGAGTTGAACAGCCCTCTTAACTTGGGATTTGCTGGAAGCGAAGTTTGTAGCTATGTGCAGCCCCAGCACAGTTTCCTGGAGGGACAAATTAGGACAGATTGGGATCAACAGAAGCATCGTGTAAGACAGAAGGGGTGACAGCTCAAGTCTCATGTCTGTGAAGACACGTTTTCCTTGCAGTCACGCCATAGGTGAACTTGACTTTTCTTCTGGGTCTGTAATTAACTTTTCTTTCTCTCTCCTAATAGTATGGCGACGTGCTAAATTTGTTGATCTCCAGTAGGAAGGCTGGAAGTGCAGTCGTGGAATTTGCTACTGTTAAAGCTGCTGTAAGTCTGGTGGAGACCACAGATGTGTATAGTGGAGAGTGGGCAAGAAGGGGTGTTTCAGAAGGGAAGGGTTAGCTGTCTGACAGCCTAGAAATGCTGCCTTGTTATTAAGGCAGTGGAGAAGGGTAATGAGAGTCTAAAGGTACAGATGGATGAAGGGAGTGGCAAAGCCTGAGGCATAAACTTGGAGCAGATCATGCACATAAACAAGTAGGCTGTTCATGTAAGCTTCTGAGGGAAGAGAGACTGCTTTAAAGGGCAGGCACCAAACTATTTAACCAGCTCTCTGGGGGTGATGGGCTTAATGAATCTTAAAGATTATATCAAGCATTTGCAGTTTAAAAGAAATTAAAATGTCTTAACTCATGATGAGTTATAATAATTCATGTTACTGTGGAAATAGAAATAATATGTACAGTAGCTACTGTAATGAAATAAACCTGTAATGTTAGTAGTTCCATCTACCTAAATTTACAAGAGTTTTGTTGTTTTTTGTAACCAGTTATTTCACTTAATCTATCCAAATAATTGAAAAAAACAAAACAAAAAAAAAAAAAACCAGAAATCCATAACTATCTGTGCTCTGTTTATCAGAAGTGCTGACAGTGATGTTTTATCCATCCTTGATGCAGAAATGAACCTTGAAGGGTGCTTCTCATGTAGGGCAACTGTGAAACTTCATTGACCTTGATAACAGGCTGAGATAGAAAAATTCCTAGGATTGTGAGCAAGCTGTGAGGGAGTGTGGCCCAAAATTCAGATGGTCATGATGGAATATTTTCATTGGTAGGAGATGGCTGTGAGGAATGAAGTTGGCTTGACAGATAATCCTCTAAAGATTTCCTGGCTGGAAGGTCAGCCCCAGAGCAATCCCAGCAGTGTCCTTTCAGACAGCAGTGGTCAGCCTAGAACTTCACAGGTAAGGAGAATATAGGCTGCTGTTACTTAAATCTGTTTCTATAGTAACCTAAATTTAGGAGTGCTTTGTATATATGGTAGGATGCATTGATTCCTTGCAAAGCAAGAAAATAAACTGATAGTGAGATGACTGGCTTCCTGATGAACCTTTATATGCTGACGCAGTGACTTTTTTTTTTTTAAAAGGACTTTCTGTCAATGTAGCAACACACTGAGGTACAAGCTACTTGAATGACTGGATGTTTGCACAATATCCCCCTCTTAAAAATGAAAACCAAGGATGATCCTTGCTCAACACAAAGCCTCTAATTCCATTCTTCAGTGAATTTAATCTAATATACCTCGACTGTGAAATCCTTTGGCAGATAGTTCACTGAAAGAGGTCTGCAACCTTTAGAGCGGTTTAGTTACTGCATTCACAAGAGGCTGAAATTTCAGTGCTAAAACCAAACCTATGTTATTAGGGTCTGCAGGAGGGAAACTGAAACAATATCAAATTGAATATCCTTTTAAAGAGTCCTTATTTGTTTTGGTTCTTCTTTACCAGTGTTGGTACAGCTTGGTAGACACTTCAAGTGCAGAGTGTTTGCCAACTTCTTGGTTATTCCACCAGATAATCCATCTGAAGCTGCTGCTGTTGAATAGCGAATTTTGCCTTTTATCTCTTTTGTGAATACAATATGTAGTGGCTAAAACATAGAAAATGTCTCCTCTAATGTGCCATGCTGCATGAAATTGTTGGCCATCAGTTACCTTGTGCTCTTGTTGCCCCTTTGGAGTGGGAACTATATCCACTTCTTTTGGAGCAGAACAATTCTATGTTATAAAGCAAAGTGTAATGTATCTCATGTTCTGCCTGTGTTCTGATCTGGTTAGTTGTTTCTTCTCTGAGAGAAAATGTGAGGGGGCCTGAGATCCTCTGGCTATTTGAATCCCTGTTAAGCTTCATGTGACATTTCCTCTCTTCTCCTTCACTGCCTCATGCTGTACAGGTACCTCCAGTCCATGCATTTACAATCAAAATATTGTAACAGTTTGTAAAATTGTTTAATACTTTCTCTCCTGACCTCTCAAGTATTTTATTTACATGTCAGAATGCTTTGCTGCTATTCTAGTTGTGTTTTTTGTTCTATGTTCTCTTTCTGAGCAGCATGGCCTGAGCAGCATCACTTCCCAGACATTTCAAGCAATGGCAGTTTGAGCATCATAGCCCATAGTCAAGCAGGTCTCCATGCACAATGTAGAATCAGAGAGTCCTGCAGGCAGAGCGGATTCAGAAAGGTGGCCAAAGTGCTTTGGAAAAAAGCAGGACTCAGTTGAGTGTATTTGAGTATCCCTCACTAGCAGAAGAACTAGAACTGGCTCTGGAGAGCTCATTCACACCTAAGAGGGGGATAGGGGAGCCAATAGTGCAAAGGTTGGTAGTGTTTTCAACTATTGAAGACTTATCGTTTGATTGAATTGATCTTGGCTTGTTTCCATGATCAGTTTGAAACTGCAGTGTCTGCCTGCTGTGAAGAATTATATATGGTGGAGCAGCAGCAAGGGAGGACAGGATAAAACAGCAAATGGAGTTCATGCTGTGTGGAGCTGGTTACTCTGTTCGGTCCAACACACCTTCATCAGTCCATTGTTAGCTCTCAAAATGATGAGTTCTGGACAGTGATTTGCAACCTTTTCCAAGAGCTGCACTTCTAATGCTTGTGTTCCTTCTACTGCTTTTATGTGTAAGCAGCAGCAATTTCTTTAATTACATTGCTGTCTTGCTGCCTAGGCTAAGATACCCAAGCTACTCTGGTTTGTTTTACTGTTTGCTTCATTAGGCCTTCCCAAAGTCCTGCTGTTGCTTCTGCTTGGATGTTCCCAAAATGTACAACTTGGTAATCCCTTCTCTTGGCCTCACTGAGTCTTTGTTCTCAGCTCCTCAGCTCCAGCCTTCCAAATTAGGTTTTTCAGTTATCAGTTGACATTGCCCCAGTCTACTGCCTACCTTATCCCTTTCATACACAGTCTAGCTTTCCATCCATCAGGGGCTACATTCTTTCTTTCAGGCTTATTCTGATTTTAAGCTCCCCTCACTTCCTCTTTGCTGTCTCTGGGCAGCTCCTATTTTTGTCTGATTCCACCTTCTGTTTGTTCCCATTCTGTGCAAATGCAGCTCCTTCCCTTCTGTGCTTCAGGAGACAGCTGAAGAGCTGCACTGTTCTCATGGCAACACATCACTACCCATCCCATCTGTGTTCCATGCGTGGGGTTGGCAGCCAGGAGCTGTGCACCAAAAACCACAAATAATGGAGAACCACAGACAGGCTAGACCAGGACAGCTTTGGAATCAGTTCCTAGGAGAAATCAAGGCTGACTGCTGAAACATCATGCTGTGAGGAGGCAGTAAGTTGCAAATTATGTATCTACACAGTTTTTGCTGACTTGTTTCATCCCACAGCAAAGGATGAGTGTTGTCCTTCCTAGAGAACAGGAGTGTTAAGCTTTACAAATCAGAAAACTACAAAAGCTGTGGTTTGACCACTGTTACTTTAGGATACTTGAGAGCAACAACCATTTACGGCAGCTCTGATTGGTTCAAAGCACACAAAGACTGTATAGTGCTGTGAAGACTATTGTGTACACTATTTTTGTGATGTTTTGCCACTACAACAGCATAAAGTGCTCGCTCATGAGGAAGTCATCATTGCACCTAGTGGTGTCACCCTGCATGTGCTCCCCATTCATTTTTGATGTGATTCATATTATCTGACTTCACCAGATTCACATCAGGTTGTTGGCTGAGTTCTGTGCCTTCTCTGGGATTGCACTTTGCTGCTTCCAAAGCTCACGTTTGTCTGGGTCCATGGGATTTTTGTGGTTTTTTTTGTTTTTAGAACAGCCTTAGTATCTTATCTAGCTGTGAAAAAAAGGTAAGACATTGATGACCCAGTAGGTTGTGCAGTGTCTTTTTAGCAGGGTAGTGCCTAAGTGGTACTCAGCCTTTCCCACTGTTCACCTCACAGAATGAAGAATTGTGTCCCTTTCTACACTAAATCTTGGTCCTGCTCTGTCTGCTGCACTCTCTTCTCAAGGGAAGATAGGATACCAGCAGCTCTAGCCTTTTCCCAACCCAGAAAAGCAGAGGTGCTTTTCCCACCTTCGTGTATGCCTCAGGTGGCAGAGAGGGTTGATCTTGGTCACTACAGATAAGAGACCTATGCTCCTGCTACCTGGTCTTTGTTGTTTTGGCTTGCTACCAATGAAATGAGGCAACAAGGCACTCCAGTCACAGAAACATTTATTCTTCCATTTCTGTACAGCTGATAGGTCAGTGCATGCTTCAAGCAGCAGTATCTAGAGAAATTTCTTCTGCTAGTAGGCTAAATAAACTGCTGTTCCTGTATTATAAGTTTATATAGATGGTTACCTGTTTCCAGGCTGCAAGTACCAACTGTATTTGAATTAGGGGAAAAAAAAAAAAAAAAAAAAGAAAAAAAAAAAAGCTCACATGAGAAGAAATAAAGGGAGAGGAACAGATTTTTCATGTCCAAACATGTTGGGAGAAGAAACATCAGTTTCTGTCTCTTGACCCTTGCCATAGCTACAGTTTTGAGATAGTAACACTGTCTCCTTATAAGCTGCCTGCTTATCCACAAATTATGTATGCCATACCCCTTTCTGTCCAACCTCTGCAGTGTCACAGCCACATATCCAAAATAAGTCTTTAGTCAAACAATACCAATCTTCTGTGAGAAGGAGATGCACAGTCAAGGGTGAGAAATTCCCAGTGTGGAGAATGAAAACTTGCCCACAAGGTTCCAGCAGTGCTCTCATCTAGGCATGGAGCCTGTCAGCTCTGCTCTGAAGGACTTCTTGGCGAGGACAAGAACAGCCTGTGATCAGTAAGGCAACAACAATAAAACAGACCACGCACAACAGGGGTGCTACAGTATCCTTCTTCCTGTTAGGACTAGAGAAACTGGCACCAGCAGTAGGTAAATGTGATACATTAAGTCATAAATACCTTCAAATGGCATAATCTCTTGGATTCTGTTTCCTGAGGGTCTGCAGAACATCCTCGAGAAGCGATAGCCCCAAGTCCACTTTGAAGGACAGGAAAGGATCAGACAGGTCACAAAGAGTGGTGCTATTCTGGGAACCAGTCTCTGAGGTCACGCAGTCTGTAGCCTGGTCCTTGTGGAACTGAGTTTGAGTGGCTTTGTTGTATTGATGAGAAGCACCAGAAAAGGAGACATCAGAGTGAGAATCCGTGTGATCGATGATGTTAGGGCAGCTAGAGCTGTCCAGGTACAGCCGGGGTGGCTTAGGAGGTGCTTGTGCCTTGGCCAGGTTTTGCTCGCTCTGACACGACAGGTAATCAGACTTGTCCTTCAGATCCCTCAAGCATTCCCTCTTCTGGCACTGTCCATCACTGTCCAGTGTGTGGCTGTTCTTGTTCAAGATAATGACCTGGTTGCCCAGCTTTTTGTGTCTCCTGAGTGAGAAACGTCTGAAGAATGTTGTGGACTTAATGGATCCTCTCCGCCAAGTATCCATGCTGATAAAAAGCAAAGAGAAAACTGCTGACTTTTCACAGTCAGGTGTCGAACTTCAGTCACAGGCTCAACAGCAAGTCGCACAACAGGAACAACCTCTTCCTTCCCTGTTCCTGTAGCTGGAAGGAAAACAGAGAGGCTGGTATTGCAGGAAATGCAAACTTCACGCTACATCTCTGTATTAAGGAGCAGTTGACCTGTCTGATATATTAGGGAGTCTTGTTCAGTGGAGAAGGAATGGTGATGTCTGAGCTTGTTAAATCTGTGCCGCAGAAACAAGCTGATGAAGAATAGCAAAGGCACACAGTCACCATGAGAACAGATTTAATCTAGCATCTAGAACAGAAGGGCACTTTGGTACCATGGTAACCAGCCACCTTCATGGTGAAGGGCACAGTATAAAAATCTCAGTGGGTGGTTAGGAGGGAGCCGGTGATTCAGTAATACTGAAGGAAACCAAAGAAATAGTCAAAGGGAAATTTGAAAAAAAGAAAACAAAACAACAATGTAGAAGATGAGCATTAGGAAAATGGAATGCAAAATAGACTTACAGTATGTCAGAGCTGCACCTGAGTCCAACAGGCAGGGAGGAGAAACTGCTGAAGTACTGAGAGAATGGTGACCACCACGTTCTGAGATGCTGGAAGAAAGTCCAGAGGCAATGCAGCCAGGTGGGACCTAGAGCAATAAAAATCCACAATGCTGCCTTCTCTTCATGAATCTCTTGTCACTGCTTCCCAGGCTGCAGTTCCTTGTGCGTATGTATTTGTTTTGAGCCAAGCCCTTGCTGAGTCAGCCACGTCAGAAACTGGGTTTTACACTATTGGTAATTGCCAGGATTGCAGGAAGTAGGTGTGTAAAGTGGCAAAGCATCAGCCCACACTCTGCCTGAGGAGAAAGCAAGCTCCCTCGGAGACAGGCACCCAGATTGCTTGAGAACTGTCAACATGAACGTCAACTTGGAGCCCATCTTGAATCAGACTGCTTCTTCCCTACTGCCACTTCTAATGGCTTGTTTTATCAGCAAGACTCCCAAACAGGGCAGGAAATAATCTCTTGTCTGTTTTAAATTTAAATCCAGAGCGTGAGGTAGTGATTCAGGTTTGTATGGGTGACTCATTTGCATGAGTCTCATGCAGCCTATTTCATTCAGCCAGGCAGATGACAGTAAATATCTGTGGTTAGTGGACAGGAACTTTGAAGAAACCTTGTCTTGCCACTGAAGGCTGATACAATCTGTTGCTTTCTCAGACACTGTGAAAATCTGTGCTGCACAGTACTAAAAGATTCTTTTATTCATGCAGTTTCAAAGATACCAATTACAGCATATTAGTCTCTTTAATTCCCCATACCAAGTTTCTCATCTACTGTGGGCTTCTATTTTGTCCTCACAGCTAGCTGCTCTGCAGCTGGAGTAACTACTTTACTTGCTCCGTTTTCCTGCAGAACTTTTGCTGGTCTACTGTCTTTTCATCCCTTCTAGTTTCTATTCAAGATATCCTTTAAATCACCACTAAATTTAGTTCCTAGAAAAATGAATGTGAGGTTTTTTGGTTTTTGGGTTTTTTTGTTCACTTTTTGTCAAGATGTTCTTATTTCTGCCTAAACTATCAAGCAAATGATATGGATGTTTCCAAGCACTGTGGCACTTTGAATACATCTGGAATCAGTAAGGTCACCTACTAATATTAAATGACTTTGGAAAGGAGACTGGCAAAACTATCTTTTTGCTCTGAGATAGCAGCTGTCATTTGCTGCCTATATTTATTAAGTAGCGTGCAATCACCATGTAGCAGATGTGATAGTTACTACTACCCACTGCAGAAAGACTCCAGGAGTTTTTGGGAACTGAAACTCTTGTGCCAGGTTTGGGAACGTACCTGGTTTTCTTCTGTGCAGCTCCTTCCATAACTAAGTCACAAAAGTTTGGTTTTTATGGCATTAGCCTTTATAATGAATAAAGTGTGTGCTGGACTTTGTGCATCAATGTTGTACTTGCAGAGCAAGCTTGTCATCCAAAATAATCAACCGTGACAAGGCAAGCCATGCTTCCCCATCCATCTTCACTGTGAGAAGCAAGAGGTTATTTCAGCCACCCTGATGGCTCCATTCTTTTTCTCAGGACTAGCGCTGTTAAAGGTCAGCCACCTACTTTCTGTAGGCAGTTTTCCCACCTTACCCAATTTCCCTGGTGTCATAATGTGTGTGTTGTGAGTGTGACTTAGGGAGAGGGGGACTGTAAGGAGTCAGTGACTTTGCAAAGTGCACTATCCTTGACATGTTGCATTTGTTTTCTGCTGTTAGGCATCTGTGGTCTCTGAGCGGGATTATGAGAGCCTGGTGATGATGCGGATGCGCCAAGCAGCAGAGAGGCAGCAGCTGATTGCACAACTCAAGCAGGAAGATGAGGAAGAGTGTCACACCTAGCATGAAAGTATGGATTCTCCCCACCCCATCGTTCTTCATTTCCAAAACTGTTTCTTAAACTAAGGCAATAAAACTCCTTTTTTAAAAAACTGTTGTAGGTGCCTGCAGCACTTTTCAGAGAACGGGGAAAGATGACTGCATAAACTTCAGTGTTACCCTGTTAGCCTGTGTGCTCAGCATAACTGTCCAATCAGAATTCAGGATTTGAGAGGTACTATGAGAACAAACACCAAGCTTCTAAAAGTGTCGTAATTCCTGAAAGCTTGGTTAGGAGCTATGGATCGAGAAGTCTTTGGCACCAACTGATCAGAATAACTCACACAAAGACATCAGTCTCTTTAGTGAAATGTTTTATTGGTGTTACCTCTATATCAGGATTGATACACGGTCCCAAACAATGCAGCATTGCAACTGCTGCTGTTAACTTTACGTAGCCCATAATTGAAATGTTTACAACACCTGTTTGCGCTGATCTAGGGCTACTTTGGGAACCAATGTGTTGTGTTTGAATGGAATTCGAGACAGCAGCATCAGGCTTTCAAACCATGGCTCTGTTTGGGAGGGAAGCTGGCCTTGCTGCTGCAGGAAGAGATTCTCAAAGAGCACTGTGTAGATTAAGCAGTTTTTACTTTCATTTTGGGGATGAGATAGTGCACCTACCACTCTTGACCTCCCATATTTGCCCCCCAAGATCTGGAAGGAGGCTTGTTCTGAACTCACAGTTCAGCACATACCCCCTGAGACAGCCCTGAGGAACAGACAGGCAAGGCTGTGATTTGAGCTCCTTCCAGTGCACACTAAATAGATTATTAAAATGCAGAAAGATGGTATTTGCCAGACTGCATTCAGATGAATGTGGAGTTAGAGCCATCTGTTTTATGTGCATGATATAATCTGGACTGGGCATACCTTCCTCCCCCCAGGTCTTAGAAAATGGCAGGGATGCTGAGTTTCCATTAAGTGAAGCCTTGCTTCTGCACTGCTCCTCCCCTGACGCCTGAGTGCCTGGAGTCTGGGACAGAAAAGAATTACTCAAGGGGAAAAGTTTGCTGTCAGTCCGGTGTGAGATGATCCCCAGCAGGGCCTTGCTGAGGTGGAATGCAGAAGTCTTCTTTGTTATTCCTTGTGGAGGCACCACACCAGCGTCTGGCCCACACCTGTCATGCTCACCACCCGGTAACCACAGCTCTCCAGCTTGTTCAGGACTATCCGTGGTGCATCGTTCACGTAGTACTCCCAGCTGCAAGTGGGAAAAAGAGGAAAGCTGGAGTGAAAAAGGATACGAGAATTTCCTTGTGGAACTGGGTCTGCCTCGCTAATTAACTGGTATGAAACACTGCAGCGGCCACATCTGGCATGCTGCCTGTGTGATGCAACACCTTGGTTAACCAGATGGGGAAGACCAAAACCCACAGCTTCCAAACCAAGGAGAAAGCTGCCCAGAATGGAATTTGATCTTAAATTGAAGTGTGGTTTGGGAACTGGTTATCTAAAGCCACGTGCTGCTTGCTTTACTAAGCTGAAACCACAGCTACAGGAATCATAGCTCAGAATTCATGGAAAAAGAGAATGGTCTCTGCAGAGCAGGGGAAAAATGTAGGACAGCAGCTTCACAGTGTTGTAACAGCAAGATCTTTTTTTCTTTGTCGTTCCCATGTTCCTGCAGGTTGCAGACCTACAGCTTGCAGGCCTGATAACTCCCTGTTATCAGACCCTGTTTGCTGTTGCTTTCAGCAGGCCTCAATTTACATGGCTGGACCATTCTGGAAGCTTTTTACAAAACGACTCATCTGTTTTAAAGGTGTGAAATACCAATGTTCTGTATTGCTCTTACCATAAGGAGTAGCACAATGCAGACATAAAATATGCTGAATTAGGTTAGGAAGTGGCAGAACTGAAATGAAAAATCTACCCTTCAGTGCTGGATTTGGCAGCCTTTCTGTTCCTTTAACACAGTTGTTTGGGCTGCAGTATTTATTCAAGCAGATGGGATAAGCTTCATAATTGTGTAGCTCTTAAATGACTCACTGTGCCTGATAAGCTGATAATGATGGGCTGCGGGATCATGGATGATCTTGGTTGGGCATCCTAACAAAGACTATCCTGACTTTCGTGCTACTAATAATAAAAAAAGACCCAAAAGCATTTCCAAAGTTGCTAACATTGCAAAATGTTTATAGTGGTGAGCATTTTTAAAGCATGAAATATCACTAAGATGTGAAAGTATTTTTCCAGTTTCTCAAGGCAGACTATGCAATAATTATAGATGTGATATAAAGATAATATCTATTATTATAGTGCCTTTGAACTTAATGTTTTCTCTAAGAGGCTTGCTACATACCCTTCAGATTCACATGTTGGAGTTGGTAAATATTATTGCCACTATGCAGAGGAAGTAGCTGAGGCAGGGGTTGTTATCTGTAGGAACCTAAATTGGAGTGGCTGAGCTGAAAGCAGAAGGCAAGCTAAGTGGCCTAGGGCCTTAGATACAATTCCACATTGAGCAAAATAAAACATCTTGCACGATGCCTATCAAATGTGCCACCCTCTCCACAAGCAAGCAGTCTGAATCAGGATGGGGACATTTGTAAAGTCTTTCAGCCTGAAGCCAGCAGGGGACAGAAGTCAGCCTAGGGAGGAGAGGAATTCTTCACATGCCCATTGTTCCCAGGTATGCCAAAGGTAGGTGAGTGAGCACATGCTATGTGGGAATGGGGCTGAGCTACAGCAAGAGCATCCTAATGCAGTGACTTTTAGTCTGATTTTAGATGGTTTGCTATTTAAAAGTAGCAGCATTGGTTGATAGCCATTATTATGATAGGAGGTGGAAGGGACATTGTCCAGCATCTACTCAGAATCCCATTTTGCAGTAGCCCAGGGTTGGCTTTGCAACCCAAGTGTCCAAAGGTTCTGCCCCTCCACATTAAATAAGGGATGGAGGATGCATGCTGGCAACTGATGGTGCTTAATGATGTACCATTTGCAGTAGCTGCTTAACAGGATCCATGCTCCCATTTATTAGAGGCAATTATGTGTTTTATGTATATTACAGTGCTACAACAGATCCATACTGCCTAGACTCTTTCAGGCTCCCTCTGAGCTCCTTAAGTCATGTTTAAGGCTTTGGATCTCAAGATGATGTGGAAAGGGTGAGATTTGTTTTGTCATGTGGCAGTGGGACCCTGCTTGACTGTGGTGCTTTCCTCCCCAGCGGGGCTTTTTGGCAGAAGGTGAATAGAACTT